GAAGTTGAAATTTCTCAGTTAGTAGCCAGCACAAACCAATCTACAACACCAACTTTAGCGGCGAATACACTATCCATCTCACAACAAATATACACCTCTTCAGACAAACGAAAATTCGTAAAATATTCGGATACATACAAACCAGGAATGGTTCGTGTCGGATCCAAATGGGTTTATCCAGAAGATGAAATTACAGACGGTGGTACTTGGGAACATAAAAAACGAGCGGAAGAAATGAAAAAGACGGCGGGTGAGTTTGCACCTCGCCCAATAAAACGAGTATATGTCATGAACAACATCCTCCATATGTATCATAATTAATAAATGCAATCAAACAGAACAGGCAGCTTTGCTAACTGCTCAAGCTGAAGCAAAACGTGCCCACCATATTGCAGATTTTTTACCCAAAGATGAGCTTGAAAAATTCGAGCAAAAAGTTAAAGCCGTCAAAACCGGAGAAACACCCCCAGAGTTTGAGGATTATGCAACTAACAAGCTGGATCAGTCGAACATTGGATTCAAGATGCTAATGAAACAAGGTTGGCAAGCTGGATCAGGACTAGGAAAAACAGGTGAAGGGATTGCCGCACCTATCAATAAGTAAGTAATCAATATTATTAATAACCTTGCACCCATTCGTAACAATCCAATGAACTATAACTTCTTAGAGCTGATACACGTCCAGCAAATGCTGGTTTGGGACAAACAAAACCTGAGGGAGTTGATGAAGAAGATGATGAATTTGAGATTTACCGTAAACGGATGATGCTTGCTTACAGGTTTAGACCAAATCCTCTGGTATGTGGACATATTTCAATTTTTGCTTCGTGACGGACACATGCATGAGAACTTTGGGCCGAATTTCTTGAATTTTTTATTTCCTATTCGGTAACCCGACAGGAAATTTCCTTAATTGTTTGTCATGTATCATCATAACTTTCGGGAGTTTAGTGTATATATGTTTTTTTATTCAATTTGTTTTTGTGCACTACTAACCATTTGCCCTTCCTAGAACAATCCTCGTCGACCATATTATTGAAACAGTTAGCAGGACTTTCTGATCAGAATGTCTTATCATGATTTGCTTTTTGTTGATTCATTGCATTTTTCTTTTTTTCCAAAATGTACACATTATACAATAAATTTATTTTATTTTATTATTATAAAAATGCTGAAGTCAAACGAGTGATATGTAAATGTTACACACAAATTACTAAATGCTTTTTAAACACTTTATCAATAAATGCCATCCTAAATTTATAACGTAGCAGTCAGCCGAGATGTCGGAGAGTTTATATGTTAGATTTGCATACTTATTGATCAAATTAATAGACGTACCTAA